TATGAATATTATATATATATATATATATATATATATATATAATATATTTTGAGATAATTTATATGAAGATGGACTTGAATTTATGATACTACTAGTGCTTTTAAATATGACAACGCACTAATCTTAAAGAAATGTAAAGATATTTAAGCGCATCCTACTATAAATTCCATTAATATATATAAATATTTTATTTCATTTGAAAGCCCTATGCGCGCATTCCATTTTAGCGATATTCCCAAAATGCCCCTGGCCTACCCCCAAGAAATATATAAAGTCATTATTTATCCGTAAAATTGTATTATGTACCCGAAATTTCTCTCGCAGTCTAATTTCTGTCTCGTCGGCTAATCGAAGCCCCAAGCGGTTGCGGCCGCCACCGATCTGCCGCCGGCGACGCCTTCGTCTTCAGCGAATCCATTAAGCTTCGTTCAGCCTGCGCATGGTGGAATCTCCGTCGGCGTCATGGCAGCCACGGCGACTCAACGGGGGAAGTCACAGTCGCATCTCCACCGCGATTTTCCCTCGCCGGTACTGAAGTCTTGGGGAAACCATCGCCTCCTCCGATGTGATGCAGTTGATGGAAACGAACATATTGTAACTGGAAAACACAGATCGATTCTGCCGCGGGATGATCGGCGGCGTCTCCCTCCCGCCGACGCCCCTGAAATCGCCATCGGAAACGAAGAATCTGGTCTCGAGGAACTCCGTGAGAAGCTACTCGGACATCTCCGGGAAGTCGCCGGCAGGATGAAAGTCGAAGTACCTCGCATCGATCCGTCGGCCTCCGGATCTCCGGAGGCTGTGCGGTCCTCCGCCGCTCCGGCTGCTGACGCAATACCCTGGAATCTCAGAAGCAAAAGGGCTTCGCGGAATGAAGCGGCGCAGGCGCAGGCTCCATCGACGGACAGGATGATCCGTCTGAGACACAAGGATTCGGAAAAAGAGCCGCAGAAGTTCTCCGTCTCCCTCACACAGGAAGAGATCGATGAAGACGTCTTCGCACTGACAGGATCTCGTCCGCGCCGCCGCCCGAAGAAACGGGCCAGGATCGTTCAACGGCAACTCGACGTAAGGCCAAAACTGAGATCTCCTCTTCTTTCACCTACTCTCAACTTTTAAGGCTTCTACTCTCCTTTTCAGGCGATCTTCCCGGGCTTATGGCTGTCTGAGATCACGCCGGAGTTATACAGGGTGCCGGAATAGTGCTTTTACCGGCGAAGTTATTCTTACCATCCGGTAACGGTATCTTACCCCTCTGTCTCGTTGATCATATATATAGGCATATAGCAATTAGGATTCAATCTTGAAGAAGAATGATTCTCTATAAGGAAGGTAACTTTAGCTCACTTTGTATCGTTTATATTTGGAATTTTATATTGTTTCTCATTTGGAATTTTTATATATATTTACATTAACTTCTATAACATTTTAATATTTACATTAACAACAAGAATTGCAACATCAAGATATTTTTTCTTTATATTCTATCCTACTAAGTCCAAAAAATGTAATAGAATTAACACTATGTATTAAAAGATACATGTCATAATTGTTCGATAAATTTTAAAGTGGCTATCGATTATCTAAATACCTAATGCAATACTCTAGTTTTCAAATTTAGAGACCCGATGTAATAAATCAAATATTTGAAGTAAGTTTAGGGTGTCAATATTTGACATGACCCGAAAACCAGAATCAAACTCGACCCGAAAATTCAATGTTAGAGTCAACCCGGACCCGAAATGGGTCGGGTTCGGGTTCAGCAAATCGACTCGTTTCAAAAATCAGGTCGGGTTCGGGTTGACCCAGTAACCTGAAATTGACCTAAAAACTAACAATTTTTGCTGCCCGGGTCATTCGGGTCGTGTTGGGTTGACCCGAATAGTGGTGGGTCAATTTTGGGTTTGACTCGGACCCTACCCGTTACCCGAAATTGACACCCCCAAGTAAGTTTATTTGAAAAATATGAAAACTTTGAAGTATAGCGCTTTGACACTGATTTGATGAGCACTGCAGAGTTAGGCCATGAACAATATTTACAGTGCTCACCAAATCAGCGTCAAAAAACTCTACTTCAGAATTTTTATGTTTTTCAAATAAGTTTATTTCAAACATTTGAGTTATTACACCCGACATCGGATATATACATATAAAAGAATAATTTTATTCTATTGTAGTTAATACTAGAAAGATTTACATACATACCATTTTATATCATGTTATTTACATATCTAATACCTAATTTTAATATCAAATGTCACTCGTATATTTAATTCCTTTCACTCATATCATCCTATAAACTTTAATATTTCATTCATTGCACCTATATTTGATCTATGAGCGTTAAATATAAAATTTTGGATGTTTGATATGTAAATAAAATGATATAAAGTGGTATGTATGTAAATTCCCTTTAATATTAATAGCACTTTTATATAATTTAAAAATTAGCATATTATAAATATGCAAATCTAAAAAAAAGGTAATTAATTAATTGTTTAGCTATTAAGTTTTGAAGCTAAGAGGATTTGAAGGTGAGAGAGAGAGAGAGATAAGATGTCGCGATCGTCGCCGGAATTGCTTTCAATTGGCTGCTCTTTGAGAGCCATTTGATTGGTGGAGCGGCTCGCATTAATAAGTTCCACTAACTAATCAAAATTAAGTACCTTTTTTTTTTTTTAGTAAATTGTTTTCTAAAGGGGATTTATGTATTTTAAATGCTGTTAAAAATATCATTATTATTTTATTATTTAAATAAAATATATTTTTATATTATTTAAATATTTAAGGGTTATATAAATAAATTTTAAAAATCAATGTATTAAGTATTTAAATATATAAATATTGAGTGATATATATGTCTTTTTCTTAATTAATATGCTTCTTTTTTTTTGGGTATCAAATATTATAATTCGGAGAGGTGTTAACATGGATTTGATTAATAGGTTGGGTTTGAATCTGACTCGTAATTAACCCAATTTGAATATAGTTGACTCAAATCCAACACGGTTAATAAATTAGTTGAAAGGTGGACCGAATACAACCCATTGGTAACTAGAATTATTCGAACCGGACTAGTTAACCCTTTTTTTTTTTTTTTAAATTGCAACTTGTTGACTATAAAAATTATGTTATTTGTATACCAACAATTAAAAATAATTTAGAAAAAAATAAACAAGTTGCTATCAAGTAAAAAAAAAAATTAGTGAGTAACTTGGATCTGACCTACCAATTAAATTGGTCAAAATTTCAGACTCGAATAAATCTCGTTTATTAATAGGTCAATGTAAATTATGAATTTTGAGGGTCATAATGTCCGGTCAGGTCATTTATTAACGCCCCTATTTATGAATAGCCTAATAAAATTAAGTTTTTTTTTTAAATGTCATATATAATTCCTATGTATATCTTTTTCTTACAAAATTTAATTAATTTATTTAATTTTAAAATTAGAACTATTTGAAAGTTGATATTATTATTATCTATTATTAATTTTGTGAAAGGCATTACACTTAATTGGTTATGACAGGGTACTTGATCAACTTCCTCATCTCCATCAATCGATTTCCTTAGCTCAAGTTGACCCAATTTGATCGTTAATGTCATTCAACCAGTTTGACCAATTCAATCAAATTGAACCGAGCTAACTTTTATAAACCCCTTCAATTGATTAACTATAGGCGACTTGAGCTTTAGTGACCTTCAAAATTGACTCATTTTACACAATTTAATCTAAATGAAACTTTTAGACCAAATTGATCAATTTGATCAAATTTCAATTTACTTGAGTGAACTCGCCATAGTTAAAATAGACTCAATGATTCTTTGCTTAGGTTAATTGACATCCCTTGATTCTAATTTGGTCAACCCTTCACCCACTAGGAATCTTTTGACCCAATTGGACTTATGATCCTCAATTAACCCATCCGAAGGAACTTAACTTGACCAATTGCGGCCACTTTACTCAGTTGAATCTAAATGGGTTCGATTGAACCAAATTGCACGAGACCTCCAAATTAGCTGAACTTATTAGACCTCGTAAACCCAAATAGACAAACATTTATGGGGTTTTTACATACATAACACTTAAAACATTGTTATTTACCTATCTAACACTAAAAATTTCATATTTACTGTTCAAGCACCCAAAACACTAATAGTTAACTTAAATTACAATTCTTGTTACCTCCGTCAACCCGATCCTGTCTTTTGCGCGGGAATCGTCCCGATCGAGCGACGTCAATTTCTCCACGCCGCAGCTCGTCTTCTCCAAACCGCTCAGCATTCTCCACGCTGCAGCTTGTCTTCTCCAGTCCGCTCACGCTTCTCCCCGCCGCAGCTCGTTCCGGTCCAGTCGAACTATTGTGAGAATTCAAGCGGCCCCTCGAAGCTTTCCTCCTCAACCGACGAAGTTGTTGCTGTTTTATTGGCACCAAGGTTGTAGATATTTCAATCCTTTCTCACGCATTTGAATGTGTAGTAGATATCCTCTTGTTTAAGATAGTATCGGCACCAAGGTTGTAGATATTTTCGCTTCCGGTCCAGTTAAACTATTGTGCTCTGTTGAAATAGCTACTTGCTGGTTGTCCTATGCTCAAACTTTGCTATTAACATATATTCTAATTTGAATTCATAAAGAAACCAGTCAATTGCTACCTCCTCCAATGGCGAAAAACATAGCAGATTCACAATACCAAAAATTATGCTTTTAATTCCATCAGTAAAGGAAGACGGTGATGATAAGAGAGACAGATAGAGCAGATAGCGTCGTTGATGCAGCCAGTAGCAACTTGCCTGTTCTCCTATGCCTAATGGATTTATCGGAAAACCTAGGAGACTTGCAGGCTCTCCTCCTCGAACTCATGTCACAAGGTACTACTTTTAATGGTTTGTAATTTCGTCATGGTCATGTTCTAAATGTAAAAGAAAAATATCTAACCTAGATAATGAAAAGGATATTCAACGGCAAACCTAGCCGATCTATCGGAGAGTAGAGGCTGAAAACATTTCTTTTACATCGATATGGAGAAGAACATACCAGCGAGGTCCGAGCGCACGCGCGAGGAAGAGCTGTCCGAGCGTGTGAGGAAGCTTCGTCTGAACGCTCAAGGAAGAGCCGACCGAGAAGTAAGAGGCAACCGAGCAAGCGAAGCAGTCCGTCGGGTGTGCAGTTAACGGAGAGTTAGTTTTGAAGAGGGACGATGTTTTGGGTGGCTGAATAGTAAATATGAAAGTTTTAGTGTTAAATAGTTAAATAGCAAAGTTTTAAGTGTTATGTATGTAAAAACCCCAACATTTATTATGAAATGCTAAGTCATGACAAAAAACAATAACCTAACTAAGAATCATTTAAAATTTTAATCATCCATTTGATTACTATAAAACAAAAATGAAATATATTCAATCAAATCTTTCATTAAAAATATATATATATATATATATATCAAGTTGATATTTTTTTATTGTCAGCATAAATATTGACTTAATTTTTCTATTTAAAAAACTAATAATTAAAAAAAAAGTCTCTCTTGTTATTTTCATGGAGATCCAGCCACATGTTTAGAGTACTATATGGCAAAGTTCTAAAGAAGTTCAGTTTATTTATTTTATTTTTTTAATACTATCTTCAGTTTATAAAAATAATGTCATCTGTTAGTATTAGGATATATTAATCATTTTTAATGAAATTAATACAGATAAATTGATTAATATTGTGAAATTTTAATATTGAGAAACCATGAATTCAAATTAAAATAAAGGTTGAATTGTAGAGAAAATTAGCATTTTGTTGCCTAATTCTCATCATTAAAATAAATGAACTGCATTATGGTCTCATTTTTTGTTTTTTGTTTTTTTTTTTTTTTAAGTTAAGTTAAAATAAATGAATTGCATCATGGTCTCATGCTAGATAAAAAGCACAGTCGCTATTAGGGCATCTCTAACTGAACTCCATATTCTTGTTTGGCATCCGCGAACTTCTCCAATCGAAAGGCAAAGGGAGCCATTCTCTCGTTCGTGAATAGTGCGACGTCAACATTGCGGTTGCACTATTCACAAACACATTTTTGGCGCAAATAGAAAAAGCGGAGGGGAGAAAAAGCTAGTGCATGTGGTTGAGAAAGAATATACATGGAATATTCTTTTTTTGTGTTTCGAAATAGAGTTCAATTGGAGATGAATTGCTGCATTTTGAAGCATTATTGTATTTAGGGGTGCCACGACCTGAAAACCCGACTCAAACCCAACCTGAAAATTTCAGGTTAGGGTCAACCCGAACCCGAAACGGGTCGGGTTCAACATTTTGACCCGATTTTGACCCTAAAAACTCGATATTGACCCGACAACTCGTGATTGACCCAATTTTGACTCATTTTTTATCCGAAAAAGAGGAGATAGACCCATT